TTTGTGGTCATTTGAGATTACAGGGATAAGCTCATTGCCATTTGCCCCGAAATGTCAGCTCGCAAGCCTATGGGCCAAATGCTAAAAACTGGGACTAGAATAGATGGAGGTTTGATAATCTGCGCTGACAGGATGGGCCGAATGGTTGTCTTCCACGCTGTAAAAACTTGAGGATGGAAAAATTGATCTGCAGTGCAAATGGTCACAAATGAAAAAGCAGTGTCATTGCGAAAATGTACCACACCTTCTGCCCCTTTCACTGGTCGTCTAGTGGCGAGGATTTGGCCCTCTCCCCGCCCCGGCCCAGCTTCGATTTCTAGTCAGGGAATAGACACTCTGCCGTGTTATTTTATCATGGTGACAGCACTTCTAACTGATCCTTCAGGAGATGGAAGGTGAACTGTTTCGTCCCAGACTCAGATTAAAATAAAACAAAGAACTGACACAAAAAAAGGAATTGATATGGAAGCTCAGCAGGTCTGGCAGCATCTGTGTAGAGAAACAGAGTTAACATATCAGGTCCTGTGACCGTTCGTCAGAACCAGGTTAGTTGTGCATTTCTGTATTATAATGCCGGGGGAAATTATCGGCTTCATATGTCAAATCAGCGTATTAATCAAAATTGCTCTCTCATTTGCTTACAACAGTCAACTTTACAACTTTAAAGGGATTTAATCGGCTCTGATGCTGCTTCCGTTCCCCTAGGTGGTGAAAGACTCTGCTTAAATGGTTCTTTTTTATTTTACTTTGTGTCAGTTAGCAGCTATGTCGAATGGAGAATTGGTTCTTTCAGTGTCTACCTCAATTTGTGTCTCTGTTTGTCTCCCTGTGTATCCGCCTCACCCCCTTTCACATTCTCCGACTCTCCTTCTGTCAATATCCCTCACTTCCCATTCCTGCTCTGTATAAAGTCAGAAATTTGAAGTTAATTTGAGTGTGGAGCTGCTGGGAGACTTTTTCCTCCTGGCTGGAGTGTCTACAACTGGGCTCACATTCCCTGGATAATGTGTCTGTCACTTAGGAAGGAGATAATGAGACATTTCTTCTCTTAAAAGGTTGTGAATCTTTAGAATTCTAAATAAAATTCTGAATCCGCCAGAAAAAAAAATTCCACCACAATGATAGGATTATAGTGATGTCTTTCTTGTTGGTGTAAAATGAATGAATGGTGATAGCAGAGAAGAGTATCTCCGAGAGAATGAGGGTGATCAGCTCGTCCTGTCTGTGCCATTACCACAACATTCCCTCCGAAATCTGCAGTTTATCCCACCTCACCTCATTATTCCTGCCAAACTGGGAATGAAGGGATGAGAATAGAAGAAAAGGAGAAGCAGACGTACTTGTGGAACAGCAGAAAGGAACTTCATGATGAATCTAGCAGAAAAAGAGGAGACACTGAAGCAGCCTCTTGATGACAAATGTGTTTTCTTTGCCGGTAAAATTCACCGCTTCACTAAGCGGGAACTATTGAACTGAAGCAGCGACGGTGATTATCTTTGCTGGTTGTTCACCTTGTGTCCACCAAACTATTGCTGCTCATGTCCCTGTCAACACCACAACTGTGCCATATGTAAGCATTGTATTTACATTGGCCCAGAAGCACAATGGATAACATGCCTAACTACGAATCAAGTGATTGTCAGTTCAACTCGTACCTGACTCAAGTATAATTCACAAATTCTTTACACTTCCACATTTATCTTCCTCATTGCCCTGAAACTGAGATGAGCTTTGAATTCCTGACCTGCAGGAACAAGAATCCTTTCCATGTCTCACATCAGTAAATGTCACCAAGAATATCAGAGGAGGGGAAGCTGAAGTCGTTCACCCAAGCTTTAGTTCAATTTCCCACACCCAACGACCCAATCACTGCATCTCCCGGGAATGGAAAGGAAACAAATCAAAGAATGAAACCAGTCTCAGCTTTGTGAGTCTTTGGGAAGCGGAATCAGAGGAGAATGAAGGTGAACTTTCCAACTCAGCAGAGACAGTCAAGGAAGCTTCCCCTTCTTTAAGAGGCTGGGTGATTGACTCTGATGTTCTCGGGGACATTAACTGACCTGAGACACTGAAAGGATTCCCGTCAGAGACTGTTCTGTGTTTGATTTTGTCAATGTCAGGAACAATAAATCCTGATTCCCTGACCGGAAATTGAACCCATGCCACAGCAGTGAGAGCGCCAAGTCACAACCACTAGACCACAGGGATGTCAGTGGAAAAGCATACTTATTTTCTTACTGACACAGCTTTTGGCCTTTTTTTCACTGGAAATAAGTTTCTCCTCCAAAATAATCAAGTAACTGAGTTTGTACAGCAGGGAAGGAGGCCCATCATCCCAGTTTCCAGCACTTAGCCTGGACCCCTGTGTGCTCTGCCGTTTCAAGCGTTCATCTCAAAAAGTTTTTTGCCCTGTAACGTTTTAATCTCAAGTGACACAAAGAATGGGACTGAGGTTTGAGATGGTAAAATTGTGTTCACGCCCCCTCAGGGAACTGAACCTCATTTTCACCCACAGAGGGAAACACACAGACACATTGCCCCAAGAGTGACAGCGGCCTCAGGAGAGATCAACCCCCAGAAAGCAAGGATTTCACCCATCTGCCTTATATCATCCCAATTTAGACGTCAAAACCAGTGTCTGGTTACAACAAAGAAAGGAAGAATTCGGCCCCTCCCCTGTCCGTGTTTCTCCCTCATTGTTTCCCAGTTACTCTGCATTTTGTTCTGCCTAACTGGAACATTGCTCACGTCAGCTGCTTTCCATCCTCCCGAAAGATCTTCCTCAAGTACCTGGAAGGACAAACAGGAAATTAGTGTTTCAAACGCATTTCTGGCTGGGTGAGGAAATGACATGGTGGTGTTAATGCTATTTGATGAGAAATAATTTCGAACGACTTTAAAGAGCTCCTTCGGATGTTGGTTGCAGCAGGTGGTGAAAATTCTCTCACTCACCGGGAAAAATGCAACTCAAGACCACTGGGCGAACCACTAAACTACAAAGTCATGCATTAGAAACTGCAATGTAATAGATTACTGAATAGCCTGTGCATCGTACAAGAAGACAATGTGACAAATCTGATACAGAGCCGAGGCGATCGTGTGCAGAAGAATGGGAGATTGTAATGCCAAATCAAACAGTATCCAGGGTGATATGAACAGAGATCTACCCTGGTAGTCTAGCGATGAGGATTCAGTGCCTTCACTGCCATGGCCTTTTAATGGTTAACATTTACAATAATAGATATAAAATACTGACTAATCTTTAGAAGCAGAAGTATGTCATGGACCAGTCAGAATCGCTTCACTGCATGTTACAGGGCCACATCAGCAATGTCAGCTGCAATTGCCTGATGTGCAAACAGATTAAAACAAGAAGAGAGGGGACGTCAGGAAAAGTGAAGGGCCATGGTGGTTTGTGAGAGCTGACTGTAGGCCTAATGGAGCCAGGCCCAATGTGGGTTCTGAAGACTGGTTTTCACTGTTTACCCTGGTATATAATCACTCTGGATCAATCACCCACAATGACTCTCCTTTGTGTGTTGCCCTTTGCACATCTCACCTCAGTTCAGAGCCCAGAGGGCATCCATACATGTTAACTTGGCAAATTTCACTCAGGTCAGCTTTACAGTCTTGTATTAAGACCATAAACATTAGGAGCAGAAAGGGACCATCCAGCCCATTCAGTCTGCTCCGCCATTTACTGATCTTATGTCTGATATGATAATTCTGAATGCACTTTCTTGCCTTTCCCCATAACCCTTGATACCTTTACTGATTAAAAATCTGTCAATCTCACCATTGAATACACTTAATGACCCAGACCTGACAACGATCTGCTGTAAGGAATTCCACCAATTCATCACCATCTGAGAGAATAAATTTTCTTCATCTGTCTTAAATGTGCGACACCCATTCTGATATAAGGCACTCTGGTGCAAGATTGTCCAGAGGGAAAAACATTTTTTTGTGTCCAACATATTAAATCTGAAAGAAACCTATATGCTTTAATAAGGAGCAAGTACTGTTTTTGTAGTACTGTGTCTGAGCATGCGAAGTCAATGGATTTCAGCACTTCCTCCTGTTTGGTTTCATCCCTGATGTAAAACTTTCACTGATTCTGACAGAGCTGTCCCTTTATGTCTTTTAATGTCAGGAATTCACGTTCATTTTAAGAGTTTCGACAGGAACAATAAAATCCCCATTCCTATTTTGGAATCAAACCAAGAACACAGCAGTTGCAGTGCTGAATCCCAAAAAGGAAAGCGCGCACAATACTTGCAATTTTTTGTCTTGACACTACTTTTGACCTTTTGTTTCAGTTGCAAAATATTAGTCAGTGAGATTTTAACACCACGGAGAAAGACCCTTCGGCCCATTACATCTATGCCAGTCATCAAATAGCTCACTTCTAAACCCAGTTTCCAGCACTTGGCCCATCACCTCGTTTGCTCTGACATTTCAAGCGCTCATCCAAATAGGTAGTCAATGTTTCAGGGCATCAGTGGAACAAAAACACTTTCTTCAACAAACGACAGGAAGCATTGCTGTTTGCTACAATATGAAATCTACATTTTCCTCTTTGAAGACGACTATGAAAGCCAAACTCTTTCTCAGAGCCGTTTGCCAGTTTTCCTCATGATGCCAACAGTGTAGAATGAAATCCCACACCGCCTGAGTTTACCAGTAATGACTCTCTACTTTCAACCTCTCTGCTGACATGAGATGTGGTGTCCTCAGGTTAAACCACCACCAGTTTTGTATCTCTAAGAAGAAAGTAGCCCTGTGACCCAGAATGTGTATGGCCACTCAGTGTGTGGCTCAGTGTCAGACTTTGTGATATTATGTCCCTGGGATGCAAAAGGCACGTTTTATACTTTATAAAATGTATAATATATGTCAGTTGTCCTGGCAGGAAGTAAAAAGAAAGATTGCTTGTACACATTACGACAAATAAAAATTCAATCTTTACAATGGTGGGCACTTAACCCAGATTGCCCAGGGCTATGCACGGCATTGCTTATCACTGCGCAGGCTCAGAATGTTCCCGCGTGCCCACAATTTAGAGCACGCGCAGTGGCAGCGATCCTGAGAAGCGGTCGCTATTTTCCTCGGCTCCGCAAAAGGTAACAATGAGGCGGAATGGAGTAGGCGATAGACCGGGCGGTAGACGGGGAGGCTTTCTAAACACTTTGTGGATGCGACAGACCCTGCATAAAGAAACTATCTGTCCCCGTTTCAGAAAACGGGACAAATTGAGGCTCCGTCTCCATGACAGGCCGCGGGTAATGGCCGCCATCTTTGTAGGAGGCAAAGGGCAGCAGGGCGCATGTGCGGTCGCCGTGGGCCAGGGGAAAGAATGTTGTGAATGTCTCTCCTGGACTGACAGGAATGGAGTTTATAAACTTCTTTAACAGGGATTGAGGAGGGGAGGATTTACACACAGCAAACTCCAAAGCAAAGAAATGTTTGCTTCTTCTGAAATTTTGACCCGGACTGACTGAGATGGGTCTTGTAAATTTTTTTTACAGCATGTTAGAAAAGGATTTGCAGATTGGAAACTCAAACCAAATATGATACACCAAGATCTAAGTGAGCCACTTGGATATTATTGGCCTTTGAATGTAAGTATTGAGTAAGATAAAAGTAACATAAGGTTCCTTCCTTCTATCGTACAGTAACTATTGCCCAGTATCTTAAATCTGTGTCTTTCATAGTTTTACTACCAGTGAAGAAGATCAGCTGCTCTTTATCTGCCTTATTTAAACGTAGACGCTTTATCAAATCTCATCTCAATCTCCTTTGGTCTGTGCAGAACAACTTCAGTTTCTCCAATCTGACCTTACAACTAATATCCCTTGGTTGTTGAGCCATTCTGATTCATCTCCTTTCAAGTCTCTCCTCAGACCCTCATATTCTTTGTGGAGATCGCCTGTTTGTGCAGGCCCAAATGCTCTGTGTTCAAGTGGGTGATGATATCACACACAAACAATTGCTCACTGATATCACCCTGATTCTCGGGTATTTCCTGAACTGTGAGTTTACTCTGACCCCAGTGCTTCTGATATCTTTTGAGCTGCGGACTCTGGCATTTGATTTTAAAGTTGAACACAATGAAATTATTTCAATATTTTAAACCAGTAATCTACACCATTAAGCTTCTCCTGCTGTTTTCAGTTTCTGACTCTAGAGCTACTGTGACTCATTTTGTCACCCCCTCGCTCTGTGGCTGGTGTCAAAAGCTGCTTTATAACACCATACATTGTTCTGGTTCATCTCTGCTCTCCCTGATCAACTCTCTGTCATTGTCTAACCTGGTCTGTCTTCAATGATGGATGTAAAACTGTCTTAGGTATTGTATGAGGTTTTTTTACAGCTGAACATTGCCTGGCCATTTGTTGCTGGTGATTTCCTTCGCTTAGTGGCTCCCACAGTGCTCTTTAGGAAAGGAGTTTTTCACCAAGTGATGATGAAGGAACTGTGACATGTGTCCAAATCAATGGCAATTAATTTGTATCAATATAGTGCCCTTCACATAATGGAAACTTCCAAACTGTTCCTTGGTAGTGTTATGATGCAACTTCTGACCCTAGACACACAGTGAGATATTAAGGTGGTGACAAAATGTTTTATGGTCAAGTAAGTTGTTTTCAACCAGTATTTTAGGGTGCAAAACTGATTTTGAGAGAGAGGTTTAATGAGGACTTTTCACAGTTTATCACCTTGGCAGCTAAAGGTTGAGGGCACCAAATGTGGGACAGTTAAAATCGAGAATGCCTGTGTGCACCTCATACCATAGTAAGTTCCTCAATTTAGATTTTGGCTCCGAGTCTCAAAATCAACTCTGTCACTCTCCATCCTAATGAAGAGCTCTATCATGAAGAGGTCTTCACTTTTCCACATGAGGCCTTTCACAGTGAGATTGCCAATTAATCCACTCTTATTACACAATTAAAATTTTGAAATAAAGTTACTGTAGTTTCTGAAGACTGTAGGACTGTTCTCTCACTTCAGAGAGAGAGATGACAAATGGTGCTTTAACCTCAGGGTTACCACACCTCGGGCAATGGGCAAGGTTAAGATGGTGGGACCTTCATGGTGATCTCAGCTGTACAGGAATTGAGCACATGCTGCTGGAGTCAATCTGCATCACAAACCAGCTGTTCAGCCAACTGAGCTAACCTACCCCTGACCATTACACAATACGCCATTGAGGATGGCCTGTCCTCTCTTTGGTCACTCAATATATAGATGTAGAAAACCATCTCGTACACATTCCAGGAATTTCTCCTGTCTGGTATTGTTCCTGATTTGATTTGCTCAACCTATGTGCAGATTGAAGTCACCCATAATTACCGTGAGCACAAGATGTAGGAGCAGAATTAGGCTATTTGGCTCATTAAGATTGCTCCACAATTTGATTGTGACTGATATGTTTCTCAACCCCATTCTCCTGCCTTCTCCCACAACCGTTGATCCCCTTATCAATCAAGATAATTATCTATCTATCTCTGTTATAAATACACTCAATGACTTGGCCTCTACAGCCTTCTATGACAATGAGTTCCACAGAATCACCACCCTCAGGCTGAAGAATTTCCTCCTCATTTCCATTCTAAAGGGTCATCTCTTCACTGAGAAGCTGTGCCCTCAGGTTCTAGTCTCTCCTACAAGTTGAAACATCTCCATGTCTAACTATCCAGGCCTTTCAGTATTCTGTAAGTTTCAATTACGTAGCGTCATAGAGTCTGACAGCACAGAAGCAGACCCGTCGGTCCAACCAGTCCGTGCTGACCATGTTCCAAAACTAATGTAGCCCCATCTGCCTGCACATGGCCCATGTCTCTCCGAACATTTCTTATTTATGTATTATCCAAACGTCTTTTAAACATTGTAAATTCTACCTATATCCACCATTTCCTCTGGAAGTTTATTCCACGCGTGAACCACACTCTTGGGGGAGGTGGGGGGGGAGGGAAATGGTTGCCCCTCATGCCTTTTCTCAATCTTTCACCTCTTACCTTAAAAAATATGATCCTGGTCTTGAAATCCCCCACCCTAGGGAAAAGACACTTGCTATTCACCTTATCTGTACTCCTCAAGGACAGGACCTAAACAGTTCATGGTAGGGCCCTGGGGAGTGTTGTATCTAGGTACCTTTGTACCTAACATGGTGCCATAAGTGGCAACTTGTAAACTATTCACTGTATTCATGTGAGTACACGCGACAATGAAACTAATCTAGTTGATTAAAAATATGCTGCCCCCTGCCCCGGTCTTGAAATCCCCACCCCAGAGAAAGGATACTGCCCATCAACTTTTTGTTACCCCTCAGGATTTCAGAAACCACTTTCAGGTCAACCTCAATGTGCTACACCCCTGTGAAAGGAGGCCCAGTCCCCCATTATGACTCAATCCCTCCGTTCTCAGCAACGTCCTGGTAAATCTCATGTGAACTCTCTCCAGCTTAATAATATCCTTGCTATAACAGGTAGACCAGAACTGGACACAGTACTTCAGAAGAGGCCTCACCAACGTCCTGTACAACCTCTGCATGATGTCCCAACTTCTGTACACAACGGTCTGAGCAATGAAGGTAAGCTTACTAAACACCTTCTCAACCACCCTGTCTATATGTGATGCAAATTTAGAAGAATTAGGTAACTGAAACCTGAAGTATCTCTGTTCTACAATACCCAAGGCCCTATTTTAATTTGTAAGTGGATTTCCTCTGGGTGTTCCGGTTTCCTCCCACTGTCCAAAGATTTGCAGAGTGGGGGGATTGGTCATGCTAAATTGCGCATAATGTTCAGGGATGTGTAGATTAGGTGGATTATAGGGGGTATGGTTCTGGGTGGGATGCTCTGAGGGTCGGTGTGGACTTGTTGGGCCAAAGGGCCTGTTTCCACACTGTAGGGATTCTATGATTTTATGATTTTCTATGAAGTCCTGCCTCCCTTTGTTTTACCACTATACAGTACCTCGCATTTATTCAAATTAAACTCCATCTGCCAGTCCTCAGCACATCAACCCAAATGATCAAGATCTCTTTGAAATCTCTTTTTCACTGTCCACTCGCATTAATTTTGGAGTCATCTGCAAAGTTACTAACCGTGCCTTCTGTATTCTCATCTAAATCATTTATATAAGTGTCAAACAAAAGTGAACCCAACAGCGATCCCTCCAGAACAACACTGGTCACCACTGAACACCAGGCCTTCAGTCCGAAAAACAACTCTCCACTTCCACAGCCTGTCTCCTGACGTTAAGCAACTTTTGTATCCAATTGGCAAGCTCATCCTGGATCCCATGTAAGCTAGCTTTACTAATTAGTCCACCACTTGGAATCTTGTCAAAGGCTTTATTATAGTCCAAGTAAACAACGTTGACTGCTCTGCCCTCATCAGTCATCTTGGTTACTTCATCAAAAATCTCAATCAAATTTGTGAGACACGATTTCTCTCACAGACAACCATGCTGATTATCCATAATCGTTCCTTGCCTCTCCAAATGCAATCGTTCAGGATCACCTCCAACAAGTTATCCACCACCAAAGTCAGACTCTCAGAACAGGAGTTCCCAGGCTTCTTACATCCTTCAAATGAAGGCACAACATGAGCCACTCTGCAATCATCTGGCACCTCACCTGTAGTTATAGAT